GCTCCGGTGGCACAATCACCGTGCGCTGTGAGGGGAACAGAACAGATGAGGGAGAGGGTATAAGAGAATGAGAGGGATGAAGGGGATGCAAGCGGATGACAGTAGGAGGTATTGGCAGGGTGTAGCTCGCAAGCACAGTGCATTAGATGCATTGGTTCACCCAACGCCCATATGGGCGACACAGGGCGCATATCACGGCCACTCTGCCCAATTCTCCCTTCATCCCCCCCTGTACCCTCTTCGCATCCCACCCTGCCCTCCCCCTTATGCCATGCGTGTGCCCGCTGGCCTCACACCACACACTCCCTGCTTTCACCCTTCTCATGCTCCTCCCCAACTCATCGCACTTGCCCACCTCATTCCCAACCCACTCCCTCCCCCCCACTCCCTTGCTCCCCTCCTGCGCAACCCCTACTCCCCTGCTCCCCCAGCTCCCCTTATCCCTCCACTATTCTGCTTCCCCCAATTCACTGCTCCCCCACTCCCCTGCTCCCCCTCTCCCCTTCTCCCCACACTCTCCACCCCCACACTCTTCCCCTGCCGTCCCCTTTAACTACTACACCCACTTCCCTCATGCCCCCTTCCCCTCCTTCCCCCTCACCTCCCCCCCCTCTCACATTCCCCTCCCTCTCATTCCCCCCACCATCTCCATTCCCTCACGTTACTCTCGCCTTCTGACGCCTCCCAGCTCTCTTTTGCTCCATCTCTCACCTTCCCCCAACCCCCTCTCGTTGGCCCCCATCACCTCTCCCCCTTTCACCTTCCCCCCTCCTCACCTTGCCCCCTTCGCGCATGCCCTGCACCACGCTGTAGAGCGCTTTGGGCGGTTTGGGAGCAGCCTGCGCGGAGAAGAGCCCGTTGGCCGACTCGGCGTATTCGCGCTTCCTCTCCGCGCCTGGCTTGGCGCCCAGTGTGAACTCGTACGGCTGGGGGCGAGGGGAAAGGGGGGAGGAGGAGTGTACACGTGTGAATAGGGTGAGTGGTGTGACTCCGCGTACTCGCGCTTCCTCTCCGCGCCCGGCTTCGCGCCCAGTGAGAACTCGTACGGCTGGGAGGAGAGAGGGGAGGAGGAGGGGAGTGCGAGCAGGGAGAGATGCGGGGGGGGGGTAAGAGGGAGCACGGAGAGTGCCGTGGCGCTTGTCACCCCGCCCTGCGCCAACTCGTCCGCTGGGAGCAGGGAAGACGGCAAGGGAGAGGTGCAAGGAGGAATAAGCGAGTAGCGTTAGTGAAAACCCATATGGCTGGGGCGACGAGGAAGGGAGGGTGAGGTGAAGGAAGTGAGTAAGAGAAATAAGGAGTAGGTGGGTGACGTGGCATTCGGTTCTGCCCCTCCCTGCATGCTCGTAGAAGGGGGGAGGAAGGGAAAGGGGAGCAGGAGGGGCGGAGTGGGAGGTGCTGGTTGGAAGAGGCATGGGCAGTGGAAAGCGGAAGCACCAGTGGCAGTGGAGTGAGAGATGTGGGCTTGGGATAAGGGGGTGAGCAAACCACGTTGCGGAGTATTTAAGACGATGAAAAAAACAAGAGTAGGGACAAATAGGCTGAATGAAAGACGAAAGAACAGGACGTAGAAAATCATGTTTCGAGTTCACTGTCGCTGCCACGTGACCAGCTGGACACATTATTCCTTTTCTCTCCCCCTCGCCATCATTTGGTGATATGATTTGGGTGCAGCGCAGTGGACTTATGATTCTACCGGTGCACCTGTGAGATGACGCACCTGTGAGATGTCGCACCTGTGAGATGACGCGGTTGCCGCCCAGCAGCTTGGACTGGCGGCTGGACACCACCGTGAGACTGCGGTACGTCACGTCAAAATGCACCTGGGCGAGGGGTGGGAAGAGGGGGAGTTGGGGGGGAGGGGGAGATGGGGAAGGGGAAGAGAGGGGAAGGGGGGGAAGGTGGGAGGAGGGGGAGGGTGCGCTTTGTGTTGAATACAAGCAAAGTTGAACTGGCGAGTGGACGCCACGGTGAGGCTGCGGTACGTCACATCAAAATGCACCTGGGAGAGGGGTGGGGGGAGGGGTGTGCGTGAAGGATTGAGCGAAAGAGGGGAGGGCGGAGGAAAGAGTTGGCATGGCATGGCATGGCATGGTATGGCATGGCAGTGCACAAGGTGGGATCAGTGTGGAGCAGTGGGGGCGAAGGGAATGATGAGGGGCGCGTGACGACGTGGCATGTAGAAACAAGCTGATGGGGTTGCCTTGCCCCGGAGCAGCAATGTGACAGTTGCATGAGCTGTGCTGAAGCAACCCCAGCGGCATCGCATGCTGTGCATTTCGTGTACCCCACCCCCCTCGACCGCGCCCCATCCCAGCACACCCCCTCTCGCCCCACCTCCCCATCACCTCGCCCCGCCCTCCCCGTCGCCCCACCGCGTCACCCTCCCCTCGCCCCCTCTCACCACCACGGGGTCGCCGCGCTCCGCCAGCCTGCCCTTGCCCGCCGCCACGTCGTAGAAGCGCACGCCGCCCTCTGCCACAACGGAAGGGGGAGGGGGGCGGGGGGGAAGGAGGAAGGGTGGAGAGGGGAACCACGTTGAGTTCCGAGCGCGTGCTGCATGTGCTGCTGCCCCTGCTCGCGCTTCTCGAGAGTGCGAGCAGCAGCGCAGGGATGGCCGCACAGAGCGGTGGGCACGTGAACCGCCGTCTCCCTGACGCGGCTGAGACCTCGACCCCTCTCGCCCTATCGACCTCAACTCACCGCCCTCCGCACTCACCGCCCTCCGCACTCACCGCCCTCCGCACTCACCGCCCTCTTGGTACATCTCCTCAGGAATGTCAAGCCTCGTCCGCCTTTCCCGCGCCAGTGCCACGTCAGCGCCGCCATTTCCGGAGCCGAACAGCGAATCCAGCGCCGGCAGCAATGCGAGAGACGAGATCATCGCGCGTCTCGTCACACTGACGTCATTGTTTGGTTTCGTAGTAACGTGGGGGTTATTAGAGATGGAATCCGCGGGTGGTGTTCGCACGGGTTCGCGAACTGTCGCAGCATTCGTGAATTCGGTACTAGCTTGACATGTAACAGTTGAAGCGCTGGTCGACAGGCACTGGTTAGCAGAGAGAGGTTGAGTGACGGCGTCGGATCGGGTCACCAGTCGCAATGCAGGTTTCAAAGAAACGAGCGACATAGTAGTCATGGCTGGACACCTGGGCGTACCGGCGGTACCTTGGCTAGTGCAAAGGAGAGCGTGATGGATTGCGTGGAGCAGAGGAATGGCGGATGGGTAAATGAGGAAGTTTCCAAGGGAGGTGTTTTAGATGAAAAGGAGGAGAGCAGGGCTGGCAAGGTGAGGCACAGATTCAAATTGCAAGCGAGGAACTCGGAGAACGGCGACGCTGTTGCGATGCGGCGAAATAAACCTACTCTGGAAACACATTCTCCGCTAACAGCTACTGGGCCGCGCGACATAATTTGCCGACGACGACATTTCTCAACTTCCACGAGCAGCCCTTTCGTGAGATGCTTCGGCGAAAAATTGCCACGCCAAACCTTACCACGGTTGACGTGGCAGATTGAACTTCTGAGGAGTGAGGGGCCGCCACGACGTCAAGTGGTAAATACGGAAGTTCGTTGGCAGAACGTCGACGCCAGCAAGATTAGCGTGCTGAAACCTCCTCGCTACTGACGGTATGGTCTGGGAACCATACAGTAAAATACGTAAGGGCAATTGATGAAAAGTTCTCGAAGGGATAGCGGAGTTCATTAGCCAAGTGAATGGTTCACACTGCACCCTCGTTCTGTCTTGTTGGACTTCTAGAGATATGCATCACAATGCCCACTCTGTACCATGCTTTCAGCAATGAAATCTATGCATGGATAGTGCCCTATCAAATATGGTACGGGTAGAAAGAAACATGTTCTCATTTCACTTAAATTGCTCCCTAAGGCCAAGAGGAGCAATACCATTCATTGACCTTTCTCTAGGCCCTGGGAAACAAGAGTTTACCAACTGCTTTGACACTCAATGAGCAACTCATGAGGTGATGGGGTGAGGCGAGTTGAAGCGTGAAAGATCTTCAGAGCAGTCACTGAAGTTGAAAAGGGAGCAAAGAAGACCCCGAGGGAGGGGGAAGGGGGAATGAGAAAAGGGTCAATTTTAAAGGATTGAATGTGATGGCACAACATGAAGTCCAGTGGACAGAGAAAGGGGAACATGTGACAGGAAGGAGGAAGCAGGGGGGGTATGGAATAGGGACGAACATCTGCGAGTCTGTTGTAATGTGGTTGGCCTTCTTGATGTCCGCCACCTGTTCACATCGCCACACACCGCGCACAGTAGGCAGCACATGAGTGAGGCGGCATGGAAACTTGATGCATGCATGGAATGATTCAATTCGAGACAGGAAATAGAAGTTCGCTTGGGAAGGGTCCGTGGGAAGGAGAGTGACGAGGTGCAAACAAGGCGGGCATGCTAGACGGTGGGAGGATGAGAGAGGAAGAATCTAGAACGGACTGACAGGAGGATGCCGCAACGCACTGACTGTGTGCTCATGTGGGTAGAGAGATGCGAGAGACAGAGACTATCAGGCTGACAGCAGCGGAGAGCAATGCTTTGGTTCCGCGCAGAAAAGCAGAGGTGAGAGGGAACACACGAGACACATCAGTAATGGCGAGAATATCCAGGTGAAGCACGAGGAGAGAAGGCTCGGCGCACGTGGGCGGCATAGCGGATGGCGATGGCGGCGAGGGTGTGGAAGCGAGTCCCCTCGTGCAGCTCAGCACGCACTGCCGCCCGCCATCCCACCACGCACGAGGAGACACGCTCGGGCCGGCGCCAGGGGAGCACCGCTGCCTGAGGAAATTCGCACGAGACCCGCCTGGCGAGTGGGACCTTCACTTTGAACTACATGCGCCGATTCAGGTCCACGCTTATGCTCCGTGAATCGCGCTAGGCATGAACACTTGGCCCTACGTTTGGACAAACGTCCTGCGTAAATCACGTAGTCCTCAACCTCTAAAACCGGGAGAGATGGGAAGAAGGGGGAGACCGATCGGAGGAGTTAGGAAGAGGGGGAGAGGGTAAAGAAGAGATAGGAAGAGGGGGAAACGGGTTTTGAGGAAATAGGAAGAGTGGGGAGAGGGAAAAGAGGATATAGGAAGAAGGGGGAGAGAGAAAAGGAGATCCGGAGAGGGGAGAGAGGGATGTGGGGGATAGGGAAGAGGGGGTACAGGGAAGACGAGAGAAAGGGAAGAGGGGAGAGAGGGAAGGGATGCGAGAGGGAAGAGGGGAAACAGGGAAGAGGGGAGAGAGGGAAGAGGGGAGGGATGGAAGAGGAGAGAGAGGGAAGAAGGGAGAGGGGAAAGGGAGAGGATTGGACGAGTGGGGAGATGGCAGGTGGTAAAAGCCCGGGCAGGGAAGAATGGGAGGAAACAAGGGGAAGCAGGGGGAGAAGTGAGGGAACGCAGGAGGAAAAATGAGGTGAAGTAGGGAAACGAGGGAAAGCAGGGGATGGAATTAGGGGAAGCAGCGGAATGAATGAGGGGAAGCAGAGGGGGGATTGACGGGCAGTAAGGGGGGAAATGAGGGAAAACAATGGGGGAAAATTAGGGTAAGCAGGAGGGGAGCACAGGGGAAGCAGGGGGGGAAATGCGGGGAAGCAGGGGGGGAAATGCGGGGAAGCAGGGGGGGAAATGCGGGGAAGCAGGGGGGGAATTGAGGGGAAGCAGGGGGGGAACTGAGGGAAAGCAGGGGAAGAATCAGGGGAGGCAAGGGGGGATATAAGGGGAAACAGAAGGGGTGGAAATGAGGAGAATCAGAGGTGACAATGAGAGGAAGCAGGGGGGGTGAAATGAGGGGAAGCAGGGAGGGGAATGAGGGGAAGCAGGGCGGGGGGAATGAGGGGAAGCAGGGCGGGGGGGATGAGGGGAAGCAGGGGGGGAAATGAGGGGAAGCAGGGGGGAAATGAGGGGCAGCAGGGGGGAAATGAGGGGAAGCAGGAGGGGAAAATGAGAGGAAGCAGGGGGGGAAACGAGGGGAAGCAGGGGGGGGGGGAAATGAGGGGAAGCAGGGGGGGGGGATGAGGGGAAGCAGGGGGGGGGAAATGAGGGGAAGCAGGGGGGGGGGGGGGAAACGAGGGGAAGCAGAAGGGGGGGGAAATGAGGGGAAGCAGGGGGGAATTGAAGGGAAGCAGGGGCGGAAATGAGGGGAAGCAGGGGGGGGGGGGGGGGGGGGGAACGAGGGGAAGCAGAAGGGGGGGGAAATGAGGGGAAGCAGGGGGAATTGAAGGGAAGCAGCGGGGAAATGAGGGGAAGCAGGGGGTAAATGAGGGGAAGCAGGAGGGGAAAATGAGAGGAAGCAGGGGGGGAAACGAGGGGAAGCAGGAAGGGGGGGGGGAAATGAGGGGAAGCAGGGGGGGGAGATGAGGGGAAGCAGGGGGGGCAAATGAGGGGAAGCAGGGGGGGGAAACGAGGGAAAGCAGGGGGGGGAAATGAGGGGAGAAGTGAGGAGAAGCAGGCTTTGGGGGGGATGTGAGAAAATGTAAATCGAGATCACCTCCAGCCATGGAGGGATGGCTTCCAGCCATGGAGGGATGGCTTCCAGCCATGGAGGGATGGCTTCCAGCCATGGAGGGATGGCTTCCAGCCATGGAGGGATGGCTTCCAGCCATGGAGGGATGGCTTCCAGCCATGGAGGGATGGCTTCCAGCCATGGAGGGATGGCTTCCAGCCATGGAGGGATGGCTTCCAGCCATGGAGGGATGGCTTCCAGCCATGGAGGGATGGCTTCCAGCCATGGAGGGATGGCTTCCAGCCATGGAGGGATGGCTTCCAGCCATGGAGGGATGGCTTCCAGCCATGGAGGGATGGCTTCCAGCCATGGAGGGATGGCTTCCAGCCATGGAGGGATGGCTTCCAGCCATGGAGGGATGGCTTCCAGCCATGGAGGGATGGCTTCCAGCCATGGAGGGATGGCTTCCAGCCATGGAGGGATGGCTTCCAGCCATGGAGGGATGGCTTCCAGCCATGGAGGGATGGCTTCCAGCCATGGAGGGATGGCTTCCAGCCATGGAGGGATGGCTTCCAGCCATGGAGGGATGGCTTCCAGCCATGGAGGGATGGCTTCCAGCCATGGAGGGATGGCTTCCAGCCATGGAGGGATGGCTTCCAGCCATGGAGGGATGGCTTCCAGCCATGGAGGGATGGCTTCCAGCCATGGAGGGATGGCTTCCAGCCATGGAGGGATGGCTTCCAGCCATGGAGGGATGGCTTCCAGCCATGGAGGGATGGCTTCCAGCCATGGAGGGATGGCTTCCAGCCATGGAGGGATGGCTTCCAGCCATGGAGGGATGGCTTCCAGCCATGGAGGGATGGCTTCCAGCCATGGAGGGATGGCTTCCAGCCATGGAGGGATGGCTTCCAGCCATGGAGGGATGGCTTCCAGCCATGGAGGGATGGCTTCCAGCCATGGAGGGATGGCTTCCAGCCATGGAGGGATGGCTTCCAGCCATGGAGGGATGGCTTCCAGCCATGGAGGGATGGCTTCCAGCCATGGAGGGATGGCTTCCAGCCATGGAGGGATGGCTTCCAGCCATGGAGGGATGGCTTCCAGCCATGGAGGGATGGCTTCCAGCCATGGAGGGATGGCTTCCAGCCATGGAGGGATGGCTTCCAGCCATGGAGGGATGGCTTCCAGCCATGGAGGGATGGCTTCCAGCCATGGAGGGATGGCTTCCAGCCATGGAGGGATGGCTTCCAGCCATGGAGGGATGGCTTCCAGCCATGGAGGGATGGCTTCCAGCCATGGAGGGATGGCTTCCAGCCATGGAGGGATGGCTTCCAGCCATGGAGGGATGGCTTCCAGCCATGGAGGGATGGCTTCCAGCCATGGAGGGATGGCTTCCAGCCATGGAGGGATGGCTTCCAGCCATGGAGGGATGGCTTCCAGCCATGGAGGGATGGCTTCCAGCCATGGAGGGATGGCTTCCAGCCATGGAGGGATGGCTTCCAGCCATGGAGGGATGGCTTCCAGCCATGGAGGGATGGCTTCCAGCCATGGAGGGATGGCTTCCAGCCATGGAGGGATGGCTTCCAGCCATGGAGGGATGGCTTCCAGCCATGGAGGGATGGCTTCCAGCCATGGAGGGATGGCTTCCAGCCATGGAGGGATGGCTTCCAGCCATGGAGGGATGGCTTCCAGCCATGGAGGGATGGCTTCCAGCCATGGAGGGATGGCTTCCAGCCATGGAGGGATGGCTTCCAGCCATGGAGGGATGGCTTCCAGCCATGGAGGGATGGCTTCCAGCCATGGAGGGATGGCTTCCAGCCATGGAGGGATGGCTTCCAGCCATGGAGGGATGGCTTCCAGCCATGGAGGGATGGCTTCCAGCCATGGAGGGATGGCTTCCAGCCATGGAGGGATGGCTTCCAGCCATGGAGGGATGGCTTCCAGCCATGGAGGGATGGCTTCCAGCCATGGAGGGATGGCTTCCAGCCATGGAGGGATGGCTTCCAGCCATGGAGGGATGGCTTCCAGCCATGGAGGGATGGCTTCCAGCCATGGAGGGATGGCTTCCAGCCATGGAGGGATGGCTTCCAGCCATGGAGGGATGGCTTCCAGCCATGGAGGGATGGCTTCCAGCCATGGAGGGATGGCTTCCAGCCATGGAGGGATGGCTTCCAGCCATGGAGGGATGGCTTCCAGCCATGGAGGGGCGGTAGGGAAGGACACAAGAGGGAATGGGCGGGCAAGGAAGGCAAGGGATGGGCAGGTGAGGGAAGGGCAGCGGGAGAGGAGGCGCGGTGGGGGCCAGCGCGAATGAGGGTGCTGGCTCGTTGAGGGGAGGTTAGGCGCGACGGGTGGAATGGGAGTCGCGATAAGGGGAGGGGAGGCGCAACGAGGGGATGCGCAACGAGGGTAGGCGCGACGAAGGAGGGGAGGCGCTACGAAGGGGAAAGGGTGGGGGGAAGCGCGACGAAGGAGGGGAGGCGCGACGACTTGAGGCGCTCCGTGGTGAGGTGGCTTCGCTCTCCTTCGCGACCACGCTGACTAGTTCCCTGTAACCTTTGTAATATATACGGCGAGTACGCTTTCGCGATGATTGCGGCGAGTAGCTAGCGTCTCACTTCCTGAATTGAGATGTCTACGATTGTCCAACACAGATTAGGATTGGGGTTTGACATTTGGCGTGACAGCCCATGCGGGTTGCAGGGGATTTGAAGTTCGCCAAACCTTTCGTCAAAGCGCCAACGCAAAATCGTTTCGCACATGAACATTCCCATCCCATCCAACCCATTTGCAAATGCACACGCAAGATTTACTTGGCTCGCGGTGCGGCTGCTTGTTACCATCCCGGGAGAGCACGATACGTGTTTCCAACGGTCGTTGTTGCGGTATAGTACCTTCGGTATTACTGCGATGTGCGGTACAGATTCGAACTTTTATTTCCCGCACGAGTGAACCACCACACTACAGTAATCTCACCGAAGTTCAGACGTGCATGGCGGATAAGCCCAGGCGGGTACAATGAGGTCAACACGGTCAGTGCAGAGGTTGGTGAATGCAATTCCAGCAAGGCAAAGCCACCCATGACACGGATGGGATGGGATGGGATGGGATGGGAGCCATCTTCCTAGATCTGCCGCGAACCCAACAGCCGCCGCAAGAGATATTTGTCACCAACCGCAGAGCTGCTCCAGACCAAACATTTTGAGGTACAGAGCCCTTTCCAAACTTGCCGTTTCACAACGTCTCTTTCAAAACTAGCACACCGGCAGCCATGACCCATATTCAATCACCGTCGTGGGCGCGGGTCCTCACCTTCGCCGTACTCTGCTCTGCGTTACTATGGGTGGCCACTCTCCCGCGCGTCGCGGATGCAGTTTCCCTCTCTTACGTGCTGAGTCAGATCCGCGACGCCGCGACCCACACGGACGGCAAGCCCGCCGGCATGACCGCGGGAGTGGTGGAGTTCGCTGCTCGATACGACAAGGTCGATGACATTTCCGATAGCTCGCTTCTTCTCCCCATCAACGAGGGCTGGACTAGCGCACTCGCGGGTTACAAGGCCAAGAACCCGGCAGCGACAACCTCGTCGGACCCGGTGCTCGAGGCGCTCAGCACGGTGGTGTCGTCGTCGGGGTCCGTGTCGGCCCTCAACGCCATGTCCGCCAACGGCAAGAACGCCATGTCGCGCCTCGCCAAGTTCATGGCGATCCGCGGTACCATCTCAACTACCGACATGGCTAGTGGCAGCGTGAGTGTCCCGTAACTCGTGGAAAGCACAGTAGCACTCCCTTGCGTGTCTCCCTTGCGTGTCTCCCTTGCGTGTCTCCCTTGCGTGTCTCCACCATTCCGCGTTGGAATGTCGCACTCCAATCTCTCTTCGTCATTGCAATGCGCATGATCGTCTCATTGTATATTCATAAATCCAATTCCCTGCCAAGCAGTACAAGAACGGGCGGTTCACCTTCGACACGGAGGTGAACCAGCCAATGTATCTCTACGCCAACGTCACTGGTGCCCTCGTATACGCCAGCATCGAGGGCTTGGATCACGTCTTCACTGGGACCGACCGCGGCTCCGTCGACCCCACCACTTATAAGAAGAATGGGCTCATGGCGGGGAGTGATGATGGAACGCCGAGAGCAGCCGCGGATGTGCTGGTCGCTTTCATCGTGCAAGCAGGTGTCGTCAGGAGCGGCTCGTATACAATCACGACGAGCGCGACGCCAACCTCTAACATGACCGCATTGTTTGTCACTGACGTGGCGTTCCCCGCCAACATGGGCTCGCTTACCAGCTCCGACCCCGTGTCCACGTATGGCAAAGGTACGCGTTGGGTGTGGATGCTGCAAGCATGCTTTGAGCCACTTCAACTTCCTAAGGCAGCCCTTTCCAGTAATGATGCTGCGATAGCAAGTAAGAGGCGAGGATATGTGAGTGCCACATGGACACTGGCTACTAGCTATGAGTCACGCCCTTTTGTTGCTGGTGCATGCCAATGAGTTGTGACAGCCGCTTCATACCCATGTCTTGTGTGTGTGTGTGTGTGTGTGTGTGTGTGTGTGTGTGTGTGTGTGTGTGTGTGTGTGTGTGTGTGTGTGTGTGTGTGCGTGCGTGCGTGCGTGCGTGCGTGCGTGCGTGCGTGCGTGCGTGCGTGCGTGCGTGCGTGCGTGCGTGCGTGTGTGTGTTGACGGGTTGTGCAGATGCTGGCAGGTTTGCCCTGTATGGAAACTCACTGGCACTGGTTCTTTCTCTTATTGTGGTGCTTGTGCTCGTTTAGAATCACATGGAAACACAACAGTCAAGAATTCCTGCATAATGATTAACCTACTAGCTTGTTAGATTCGTCACTGGTTTGAGTTTTTTCCTTCGGGAATGGTGTTCTATTGAGAAAAGAGTATACATTTTCGTCCAGCAGTTTAAGAACTTAAGGTTTATCGTGGGAAGGAGGGGGGAGGCAGGGGAAGAGATGAGCGGAATCAGCGGAAGAAACGAGGGGAACAAGGGGAAGAAATGAGGGGAATTAGGGGAAGAAATGAGGGGAATCAGGGGAGGGAACGACGGGAATGGAAGGGAACTAGGGGAATCAGGGGAAGAAATGAGGGGAGGCAGGGGAGGGAATGAGGGGAGGCAGGGAGAGAGTTTGAGGGGAAGCAGGGGAAGAGAATGAGGGGAAGCAGGGGGGGAATGAGGGGAAGCAGGGGGGGGGGCAAATGAGGGGACAGCATTGGGGGGGATGAGAGGAAGATGGGGGGCAGTGAGCAGAAGCAGGTCGGAAATGAGGGAAAGCAGGTGTAGATTCTACAGGGCTGACGTTTCGTTACACTTCTTCTCCCGCTGAGCCTTGATCTTCGGCCACTTCGCCGCCCGGAACAGCTTCGTCGGCCCCAGCTTCCCCAGGTCATCCAACCGGTCGTTCAGGTTGTCCACGCAATCCTTGGCGAATTTGCGGCACAGCTTCACGCAGTCTGCGTAAGTGCTCCCCTGCTTGTGTCCCTTCAGCTTCCTCTCATGCATGGTGTAGAGGTGGTTGATAGGCTGTCCAGCACCGTCCACGCCTCGCACCCGGACCTGCTTGCCTCCACCCTCCTTGTGGACTTTGAGGAAGTTCACCAGCCAGCTCTTCCCTTCTCCCCCGAACGTCTTCTCAGGCGTCAAGTAGCGCTCCGTCAGGTCACCCGTGGTTGACTCGATCGTCTTAGCAATCTCTGTCACTTCCAGCTGTCAGAGGGGACGGTGTAAACAACGGGGAGTGTTATGAGCAAATATGTGATAAAATACTTAACGTTGCATCAACTGCCGCACATGAGACTTCACCTCTCGTCGCTGGAAGCAGCGGTTGAGGTCGTTCATGTCCGCCAAGATGTCGGCCAAGAAGAACAGGCAGAACTGGAACTTGTAGCAGGTGACGATCTCGTATGCTTTGTGGTTGTGCTCCCAGAGGAGGACGATGCATGCGCCGAGAACCTTGCATAGCCTCCCCACCGCATCACCTCGAGACAGCCACCGCACCGTGTGGATCCCTTGGACTTCCAAGTTGGTCTTGTAAATCACACGCTCCAGGTACTTGAACCGCTGACTCCACACGCTGGAGTTTTCGAGCAGCGTCGCCACGGTGCGCACCACCTTGTCGACCATGCCGAGATCCGGGTTTGACTCCGCGGCGTCCTTGACAGCCAACGCCTCACTGGCGAGCAGGAGACAAAAAGCCATGTCAGTTGTTAAGTCAAAATCGCTAGGAAACCAACTGGCAGCAGAGACCAACTCACATACCGATGGGCGATGCAGTGGCAGGAAAACAGATGAGGGGCGTGTTCCCGAATACGCGCCACCAAGCCGTTCTCTCTCCCGGTCATGACCGACGCCCCATCCGTGCTGATGCCGACAATCTTGGAGACATCCACGGCAGCGGAGCGAAGATGGTTCATGAGCACCTCAAAAAGAGACCCTGCATCACACCGCTCGACCGTCAGCAAAGTAAAGAACTCGCAAGCGACTTGGCGGTTCTTCAGGAAAGTAAGGTACACAATCATGTGTTTCCCTCGCGTGCGGTCAGTGCTCTCGTCGCATTGGATGCTCAGGAACGGTGAAGCCAGGATGTGGTCCATCTGCACCCGCGTGAGGTATGTGCTGATGCTGTGCACCATCTGCTGAAAGCCGTAGCTGCAACCAGACGAGAGAAGTAATCAGTAGACTATCAATCACATAGTACACACTGCACTCTACTCGAAGCGGAAACTTACCGTGTGAGATAAACGCCGTACGACTGCCGGGGAATGCCAGGCGTGTCCTGCTCCGCAAGATGCCGCATCAGCTTAGGAAACATGCTAATCGGCGCGTCGCACTGGCACAGGAACTGAGTCGACCGCATCAGACGTATCGCGCGGCGGCCCTCCACGTCGGAGTTGATGAAGTCCGAAATCACCTGCTGCCCTTCGTTGATTCCTGCCGCAATCTTCAGCTGCCGGTCCACCGCCGCCTTGTGCGCGTCCGTATGTTCGTGCGCGCGGAACGACTGAGTCTGCAAGTCACGGCCGCCGTCGTCTCCTGGCATCGCGTACCTGGTGTTCCCCTTACCGTACGACATGCAGATGCTGCACTTCACGTAGGGGAAACCGTCTTTGGTTTTCCCAAACACGAGCCACGAGAAGTACCCCGACCACTTCGTCTCGTAATTAATACTCGCCTCCAAATACATCTGCTCACGCATCTGCGCCTTTGTGAGAGCGGGTGAGCCGTATCCGCGCGCACGGGGATGTCACCTTCTGGCAGCTCAGCTTCTTTCGGAGGAGGCTCAACAGGCTTTTCAGGCGGTGGAATTCGGCGGCCCCCCACCACCAGAGTACTCTGGGCCCACTTCCCGGATCGCGCCCGCTTGGGAGTGGAAGTAGCCGACGGCGGGCCTAAGGAGACCCGCACTGTACTTGGAGTGGGACTGGGCGCGGGCGGTGGAGAGTCTTTGCTGCACCCAGCAACAGCCGGGGGGAGTGTGAACGCGACAGGAGTGGGCGAATCAGTAGGGGTAGGTGTCACTACAGCGGCGGAGTCTTGAACGGTGGACCTAGGCGGCTCTGGTGTTACGGGAGCAGTCGTAGATCGAAGAAAATCGAGCCCAGAACGCCGAGCATCGGCGGCTGTCTCAGGCTGGGACAGGGCTATTGGTTTCGCCGGTACAGGTGGCTCGTCAGGGCCAGACTCCGGAGCTGCTTCATCGGCGGCCATGGCCTCCATGGCGGCGAGATTGGTGGTGGCTAATCTGAGCGGGAGGGAAATGGGAGATTGACTGCATGGAATGGATAGAAAACAGAGGTGCACTCTGGAACCACGGCTGTCGGTAGAGGGAGGGAAGGGAAGAGAAGGTTGGAGATGGCGGGGTCAGCACGAAACCCCCGCGCCGCGCCATCAAGGACTTGATGGCAACATTGCCCGATGAATTTGGCCTTGCATTCAAGGCCGAATTCACTTACGGGCTGCTTGGCTGCCACCGCATGCTGCCAACAGGCCGTCGTGGCCAATGGATGATGCATGCTGTGCGCTGGGTGGTGCGCGTGGCAGCAGTGCATCATTGACTTGTGTGCGCTGTCGGTGTTGCCAGCTGTGATGTACAGCACGGGGGTGTTCTCCCTTGTCGGTATTACGTCACACTCCCGCGCGTGAAGGGGTTACCTCAGATGGGGCCACGCGAAGTAATGATGACGCACAAGGGGGGGTTATCGAAAAGAAAATTCGCGGAACCTTCCTCCCGATATCCTCGCACACATTCACGGTCCAGCAAGATGGGACCACACGAAGTAATAATTTTGCACTAGGGGGGGGTATCGATACGAAACTTCTAGGAAGCTTCCTCCAGGTACCCCCGCATTCAGGGTCCAGCGGACACATACCCTCCATAGACATAGTCGGCAAGTACACTACTCTGAGGCTAGTTACAATATTTCAGAGTTCGTTAAGTGCCTAATTTGATTGGATCAGAGTTCACAGAGTGTAAAAACTGAGAATGCAGGCTCGACCAAGTGACATTCCTGTAATCACCCTGAAATCAGGGTAATTACCCTGATAAAATCCGCTACACTGTAGAAATGTGTGGACGCAGGGAGGGAAATGAGGGGAAGCAAGGGAGGGGGATGGGGGAGCAAGGGGGAATCGAGGGAAAGCTGTGTTAAAGTACACATGTGAACTTGTACCCTATGCTAGGGTACGGTACAAGTTGGCTTATACATGTTTACCTTTTCTTGTGAGTATTTTATATATTGTTAGAATCTAGCAGCAGGAATGGATGAACTAGCAGGATGCAGGAGTACAAGTAGTAAACCCTAATTGGGTTGTACCCCATATGGGCTACCCCACTACAGCCTAGACACTATGCAGCACATGTAGTTTGACACACCCCCATAGGCAAAGTGGGGGAGAACAAGGGGTCACACGACCAGTCAAGAGAAACAAAACAAGCTCAGGGTGGATCACAACGTTACCACACATTCTGAGCACAAGCAAAGGGCCACAAGGCCAGTTCACATGCAGAGATATATATGCAACAATAACAGTACAGTGATGACTACCTAGCAAGAACCAGCATGCAGGTGTATATATAGATCACAGTACAAGCAGAGACTACAGCAAGTGCGGAAACGTAGGCACAAGGCCCAACAGAGTACAAAAGCGCTGATGATCACCAGACGGAAGTGCCTTGGTGAATATATCAGTAGTGTTGGCCCGAGTGGCCACGTGGCGAAGACGAAGCTGGCCTCGCTGCTGCAACTCTCGAGCTAGGAAGTAACGCAGAGCAATGTGCTTCGTTCTGTGCTCCAGTCTGTGCTCCTCACACAAGGCAATGGCCACCTTGTTGTCAACGTACAGAACTGGAGGAGAACGAGGCCGCTCTCCTAAGTCAGTCAGCAGGTAGGTGAGCCAGCGTAGCTCCTGTGCAGCCATGGCGGTGGCGTAGATCTCAGCCTCACAACTGGAGCTGAGAACAGAAGACGAGCGTGTAGACCGCCAAGAAACAGAGCCAGAGCCAAGGCTGAAGGTGTAACCCTGTGACGACCGCTGTGTAGTCTGGTCGTCAACCCAAGAAGCGTCTGAGTGCCCAGTGAGGACCACCTCACTCCGTCCTCCAAGCACGAGCCCCATGCCTGATGTACTGCACAAGTAGCGCAGTACCCTCTTAGCAGCAGCCATGTGCTCTGGTCGGTGCCTACCAGGAGCCACGTAGCGAGCGAGAAGGCCAAGAGGGTACTCAAGGACAGGACGAGTGCAGGTCATCAGGTACATGAGGCAGCC